TCAGAGTCTGATTCAGATGAGGAAGCCCTATATAACAGGGCCCTGAGTTTGTACAGAGCAGAATACACCATCAATGAGACAGACTGCTCACTGCAGTGTTGGTCCAGTCGAGCAAGGACCCACCCACAGCTGTCTGTCCTGGCCCACAAGTATTTGATTAGTCCTGCTACTTCTGTTTCACTTGCAGGTCACATAGTAACAAAAAAGAGAGCTGCCTTGTGCTCTGAAAATGTGCACAGGCTAATTTGTCTAACTGGCTGAAAAAGAGACAGTAAATAAGCATTGAGGTATTGTGAGTCCAATGGGTTTATTATTTTTTGCACTACAATTTTTGATGATCACATTGTTTTAGCCTCATGCACAAAATTATGTAGGCCAAGGTTAGTCAGAGTTTAAAGGCGAAGCTGCTTAAATAACCTTTTATGTTTCTGCAAAAAATTTTAAGACGAAAAACTGCACTTTATGTTGAAATTTTTATTATTATTATTTAAAGACAATACCATTTTGAAAATGGACTTAAAGTCTGCCCAATTTTGTCCAGGGATTAGGGCTGTTCGATATAACGATATATATCGGATGATGATATGAAAAATCTGTGGTTTCATTTTACGCTATCGTTTGTTTCGTGGTGTTGCAAAATAAACTGTTTACTGCAATATGTTTTTCACCGTTTTGATGGTCACTGTAGTGGCTATATTAATTTCTTAAAGTTCTCTCTTTCTCTTATATTTAATATAACCACATTACGGGCGGACAGGCGCCAGTTTTTAAGCATTGTCGTTAGCAACAAGGATGGTAAAACCATTGCATGTCCGCTTGTTTATTTTCCACATAAACCTTTTACAATAAAGCTCAAGATCATGTTGAGACTTTTCAAAATAAACGGAATCACGTGAAAGAGCAGATTATTTACGGATGAGGTGCAAAAAAGAGCCGTCGAGTGCTAAAAAATAAACCTTAGACTCAAACGTTAGAACAGGCTTTTCCCCGCAGCACGCCGTGTAATAAATACTTACAAAGAAAACGGCGGCCTTTACAACTTGTAAAAATGTATAGTTTCATGCATCGGTTAAAACACTCAACTCCAGGTACACGACGCCCAGCTGGAAACACTTCACGCAAATCGAGCTGCCCGAGATTCACAGAATTTACAGAAAATGTTACATTTTTGTGATTTATATCATTATCGGGATGATAGATGTCTTATATCGGGATATGAGATTTTGGTCATATCGCACGAAATGCTTTTTTCCCCATAAATTAAAAGAGCTTGAGTTTACAGTATTTATGTCCATGTCTATTATTGTCAGGCTCAGGAGAGACTTGGAGGCAGACAGTCACTTAAGTTCACAATTTATTTACACACAGACACCAGGTGTGGATATATACAGGAAGACGGTCTCCGGGGAACACAGGCACGGGCTATGTACACAATCCTTCACTGAAGCTCAGGTAGCTCGGACTCCGGCTTTTAGCTCACCAAACGGCAGTCCTCAGGCTGGCGAGAAATCTGGCACAGGGAGGAAGAACAGGTAAGTTGCGGCATGAAAGAAACTCGGGAAAAAGCTCAAACTTGCAATGACACTGACGAGTGTTACACAATAATCCAGCGAAGAAGCACTCTCAGCAGCCGCCTTAAGAAGTGAATGAGATGATTGCTTGCAGGTGTCCGAGCACGGGGCTGGAGCCATCATGACTCCGCCCCGGTAGAGCGCAGTGTGCGGGAGGGGAGAGAGAGACGCAGCACAACAAAATCACTTGTAGCCATACAGAGTCAGCTGAGAAGGCACAGGGTCATGACAATTATTTGATTCTGTCACCCACTAAAACCCTTTTAAATTAAGATAAACATTTGCGCTTTGAGGTAAATGTTTTTGCGTGATTAAGTATGATTAATCGAGATTAATTAATTACAAAGTCCCACCCCTGGTAATATCTGAAATAACACAAATATAAATGACTAAATAAACAGATAAAAGGCTCACATGAACAAGAGAAGCCTATAGAGATTCTATATATCTGTTCTTGCAAAAGCAAAACGTGTTTGGCACCACCATTCATTGAGGTTAATATTCTCATTGCAAAAGCTGGCAGATAGGACAGGATGATATAATTAGAGAGAGAGAGACTGGTGTTGGGTCTATATTAGGGCTGCACGATATTAGGAAAACCTGCGATGTGCGATAACTGTGATCAATATTGCCATAACGATATGACTTGCAATAAAATAAATAGCAAAAAAACCCCCGAATACATAATTTCCGTTTTACTGCAACAGTTTTATTTAAAGAAAGCTGCTGTATTAGCAGTGTAACAACAAAGTGCACTTTAACACTGAAACATTGCCCCCATAAAAAATTTGCTGAGGATTGAATTCTGAAAGGAAGGTGAGGAAGTGCACTGTGAAAGTCATATATGGTTCCGTTGTACGACTTGACCATCGCTGAGAGCCAAACGAGATATTCTCTTTTGGCTCTCAGCGAAGGCGGTCGCACTTTTTCTCCTCTCCTCTCCCTTATCTTCCCTGCTTAGCTCCTCATGTCCTTGTCTTGTCTCGTGTTTTTTATTACTTTTCCCTGGAACACTCTCTCACAGTCTGTTCTCTAAAACCTAAAAGAGGAATTATGGATTGGATCAACTGGTCCCTAAATGCAATTGACACCCCTTTCTCAACGAGAAGTCTGGGCTTGGGTGAGCCTGAGTGCTGAAGATATCTACCTATTCGGAACCATGGTAACAGGGTTCTGATTGGAGCTGGCTTGGCCCTGACTTATCGAAGAATTAAGAAAGCGGAACCGGCTGTTCAAACCCCCACAAGGCTGCCCGCTGGGATTGGAATGACGGAAGAGGGGTGAGTTCCTCAAAATGGGCTCATTGAGTCAGCACAGATAAGATCTTGGAGAGGCTACGGCTGCTGTGAATACTCAGAATAAGATCTCTGACTGCAGACTGGATACATCTCGGAAGGGCTAGCCTGGAATAAGATCTCTGGGTGCAAATTGGATGACATCTCGGGGTGGCACACTGCCGTGATTTCTCAGAAATCTGTTCCTTGAGCACAAGAAATGACAACATCACAGAAGCTCGCGGCTCTCCAACGGGAGATTGAGAGACCAGTGTTGGACTGTAGAACTGCTTTGAAATTCATATGAGCTGTTCGCACTAAAGTAAAAAGCACAATCACTTCATGCGGATACCCCTTTGGCGCCAGCGGCGGTCTCGAGGCTGGAGCCCAAAAACAACACTCTGATAACGACTGTGTTTAGACTGTTCCTTCCCATTCCATGCAAGGCCACCTGGGTTGGCTGGAAGACTGTTTACTTAGCCTGGCAGGGCAGAGGACACTGTCTCAGCTGAACTATGGACACGCACACACATACACTTACACTGATAAGCACACACTCATCCCCCTCCCTTTTCAAACGCGTTCGATGCTTGTTTCCTGCAGGTGGGTCTGTGTGGAATGGTAGCGCTGTGCAGGGCGGCTGCTGTGTTCGCTTCGTATTACTCCTCACCCCCCACCCAATCCTGTGGCTTGTCATGTATTTCACAAGTTGTGCTGTGGACATTTATGTGCTTTTTGTGTAGAGGAGTTTTTTTGTTTCCTGTTCTCATCCTGTCCTACCATGGAAGCACAGCATGAGTAGAGGTCTCTTTTTTCTTCTTGTACTTTCCCACTGTAGTGTATATTTCAGTGTTTTTCTGTAACGCTACCGATCTCCGACTTGTATCCCCATGTAATGTCTGTGTTGTGTGTGTAAGGTCGGGGGGGGGGTCCCATTTCACTGCAGGGCAACCTGCATGTGGCGAATAAAGCATTGATTGATTGATGTCTGTAGTGCCTGCGTAGTTTTCAGCTTGGCTCAGTTCCAACATGACAGTCTTGCGGCATGTTTTGTACATTTGTGGAATGGCAACACGGGAAAAGTAGTTTCGTGAGGGGATGCTGTATCTCCGGTCCACTTTATGTATCAGACTGGTGAAGCCATCTCTGCTAACTGTATTTATAGGCATCATGTCTTTAACCAAAAATTGTGTAATGGCCTCTGTTATTTCTTTGTACCGCTTTGACGTTTTCTCATAAGGAGTTCCACTTGAAAAACGGCTGTTGGAGTGCTGTGCTCTTTGTCTTAACATTAGCAACCTGTGTTTCGCCAGCCCTATCTTTCTGGAACTCTTCAAACTGTGGTTGTATTGAAGATTATGGTGGAGATTAGTCGTGTTTCCTCTGGTGGTTGCCACGAGTGTTTGGCAAGTTTTGCAGAGTACCTGTGTTTGGAGAACGTCATCTTTATCAAATCCAGAGTACCTCCAAATAAGCGAGGTACTATTTTTTTTCTTTTTTGAGCCACGAGTTCATAGTCAGTAGCGTTCTCGTCATGCGTCTCACTCTCAGCCATTACAACTCTGACTCGCTGCAGCGTTGTTCGCTCCCCACCTACATAGGAGGCGGGCCTCTAATCCATTTGATTGGTTAATGCCGTGAAGGGCTCTATTTGACTGGTCAAATGTGTAGAGGGGTTTCTTTGATTGGTAAATTCTTTAAAGCACGTGTGTAAACATTTTAAGGTACCCAATTATCGCAGTTTTCACCATCTTTTATCACACAGGCTGATATCACAATGACAATAAATTTTCAATTTATTGTGCAGGCCTAGTTTATATTTTATTATTGTCATTTGTATTTAGAAACATGACATGACCCATAATGTTTTATCTAGGGGTCTAGATTTATGCCTGTAGTGCACTGCCATGTAAATAATTTGCTTTTACTGAATATGTACTGTTGGAGCCAAGTCCAGGCCAATATTTTACTCAGTTACATCATGCCATATTTAAGTATTTGTCATGATCTTAAAGTTTCTGTTATAATCTTGATCATTTTATGTTATAATGTAATATGCTGTGCTCCATAAATTAATAAAAAAATTAATCCTGCTTTATTAGTCTGTAGATGTCGTAAAGGGGTGTGTATTTGCTTTACCCACACCCCTCCGCATGCGGGCCAAATACACACCCCTTTACGACATCTACCAACACTTTACAACAACAACAGATTAATTTATGGAGCACAGCATATTACATATGCTGCTTAATTCTGACCGTCGCCGTTTTAATGTTATTTTTTTGTTGTGACATAAAGGGAATATAAACGGAGCTCCCACCAGAGGCATTTGTTTTGTACCTTTCGATTTGTATGGAAAATAAATGTTTTGCCCCTTTTTTCCTTCGCCTCGTTTTTTGCTACCGGAAGGCATCCAAGCGACTTAACAAGAGCACGAGTCAGAAACTTTACGTTCTGCAGAAGCGGCAAAGAAGGACCGAAGGTTGCCGCTATAATATGTGCTTACTAAGTACCACTGTTCAAAAGTTGAATAAAGAAACAAACAAATTTGTGCCTTTATTTTATTAAAACCATTTTGTGATATGATGTTCTACAATGTAGAATCCATGTCATTTATAGTTTACAAATGACAAAATGTTTACAAAGAATGAAAATCATGACAGTGTTTACATAATATCACCCACTACTAACACTACTTAATTTACTGTATCTTTTGAAAAATTACCGCTATATATATACAGCACAAGACTTAAGAGTAATTAACAACAGCAAGTCTCATTTTTCCCTGGTTTTACTACCACACTGTTCTCCAAAACGCAGCAAACCTTCACAATCTTATCCAGAAGGGTCACCACTTCTCCCTCACATGGAAGAAATAATCTGATTGGAAAGGTGGTATGTTTGAAGCAGGGATTTCGGAGTGCCCCTTATGTAGCGTTGGAACCCAGTCATGATGTGGTTTCATCCATTTCATAGGCTGGTTTACCTGGAATAATGCCAAATAATTAGCAACTCTATAAATATATAGAGTTGCTATATATAAACCAAAGAAATATTTTTCCTTTATAATCTAAGTCAGGTGAACTGACCTTTTAAACTGTAGTTTACAGTGTGGACTTTCCAGGTAATCATACAGCTGTTTCATCCCTGAACCCTCCAGGTTGCATCCTATTAGATCCAGACGTTTCAGATAGGGGGGGTTGGACTTCAGAGCACTGAGCAGTTCGGAACAGTTCTTCTCTAACAAAGTGCTGTCCTCAAAGCTGAATAAACATCATATGAATTACAAAGTATTCTTTTATTAAATCATCTTTTTCTTATAAGAAACCAAGTGAACGTCTAATAGAGGTACAGACTATTGCAAACTGTACAGATTATTGTCAAGTTTAAACTTGCAGAAAAAAAACACACACACAGCAGCAGAATCAACTCTCCACATTGATTAAAAATAACCAGATATTACCAAAACCAAAATTATAGTATGTAGTTTTAGTACCCAAGCTTGTACCCACACCGCTGGTTTATGTGATAATATCAGGCCGAAAGGAATTCCCTCACTGAAGCCAGCCAAACCTGTCGTCCATCAAGCTTCACCGGCTGGTGCTGATCGTCCTCGTCAGTGGTCACTACTTAACAGTGTGGCTGAGCTTCAGTGGATGCTGGGTCATTTAGCGACCTGGTCAGTACAGCCCCTTAGGTAAACCTATCTTTTGCTTGTGTCTGTGAGTGTGGAAGACTGATCAGTGTTCACTATTTCACTGTAAATAAACACACTTGTCCTGCATTTGAGTTCTGTTTTTGCTGCAAATGTGACATGCAGTGCATCCTCATGTTCGCTTATTTTTAAACAGAAGTGTTTTACTATTACAGTAAATACAGTTAACTAACCTGAGTGTCTCCAGTCTACAGTTTGGATGCCCCAGATGAGTAAAGAGTTCTTCTGCATCTTCCTCCAGTCTCACTGATTTCATGTGCAGCTCTCTCAGATGGGAGGGGTCTGAGGTCAGAGCTAAGGCCAAAGATCCACAGCTACCCCCAAAGATATGAACATCATGAAGTCTGTATTGACACAGATATTAAAACCATGTTATTATTAAGAAGACACATTATTTTTACTTTGTGTGCTCGATGCAACACAATGGGAAACTGTCTCTTCTGGCTCAGCTGATTTGATGTTACTAACATGAAACATTTTAATAATTCTCCTCTGTCTCTGTCAGACCTACAGATCTTCAATCTTTCTTTGATTTAATGTGTTACTTGCAGCCACTTTCTGCTTGGCAGCACTGTCCTTAAAACATCTAGTTTTTACCATTTCTTCCTGTACCAAACATGACAACAATATTCAGAAGAAGCATATTGTAAACTATTTTTCCTGGCCTATCAACACATTTTAAAAACCGGATAAATATTTTGAATTCTTCACTTGAAATAGAGATGCAGTTAGGCTGTGTCTTCTTTACATTTCATTTTAATATTTCATGTGATTTGGAAGTGCTACTGTGTCCCTCAACTCCAGAGTGCTAAAATTAAAAGTTGGACTCAGGAGTAAAAATCAATCAAAAAGACTGCAGTGTCAGTTTTTGGCTACATTCACACTGCAGGTCTTAATGCTCAATTCCGATTTTTTGATCAAATCTGATTTTTTTGTCTGCTTGTTCACACTACAAATAAAATGTGACCGCAAACGCGCTCTAGTGTGAACGCTCAAAGTGGCCCGCGTGCGCAAAAGAAGACCACACAACGCGCTCTGTTTAGACCCAGAGCAAACAGTATGGTTTGACTGATGGTCCTTAAAATAAAGACTTGTTTGGGACTTTACGTTTCCCAATTTTGCTTTAAGTTTTAAAGTTATTTTGTTACTTACATATGGCCTAATAATTATCCTTATTGCTGTTTTAGAGAGAAGCGGTTCTTCAAAGGATAGTTGCAGATTTCTGTAAGAATCTTCAGATTATACAGTACAAATAAAATGTTCACGTTTCTCCAATGCTGTCTTCCCAACAGTTTCACTGACATCTACATGGGATGGCCAGGAACTGTTCACGATGTCTTCTCGGGCGCTTCTCCGGCGCTGATAATTGGCGTCTGTCTTGTGTCAGTGACGTAAAAGACGGATTTAATGCGACATTACCATTTAAATAGCAGTCGCTTTCCACATCAGATATGTATCGGATTCAGTACCACATACGAAAGTGACCCAGATCGGATTTGAAAATACCGGATTTGTGCCGTTCACACTGTCATACCATGATCGGATATGGGTCGCATAGGGTCAAACAATCGGATTTGATGCGCTTTCGCCTGCAGTGTGAACGTAGCCTTAGTTTTTGTTGCTAGTACTTGTTTTTTGTTGTTGTTTTTGTTTTGTGGCTCAGCTGCAGGAGACGGAGGAAGTCTGGCTGTCAAAGCGGATATCGATTAAGCTAACCATGCTTTCCCTATTTCAGTATCTGCTGTGGCCTGAAAGAGGAGTGACAGTTGAACAACAGGACCGAGCTGTGTGTGGTACAAAGATGAACTGAAGTGTGCAGCTGCAAAGCTGCTAAAACCAAAACTGGTTAAAACACTTTGTAAAGAAACCAGCAGTGATGGGTAAGTTACTTTAAATTAGTAACTTAGTTACATTACTAGTTGCTTCTATCAAAAGTAACTCAGTTACTTCAAGTTACTCGTTGCTTTCAGAGTAACTAGTTACTAGGGAAAGTAACTTTGGTTTTACTCAGAATTCTCTTGTTAATGTGTTGCTTCTGTAACTGGATACCCAGCAAGATTGCCAGTCTTCTAGCTTGCTTACTTGCCACAAGTGCACTGTGCCACCTACCAATAGAAAGGAAAAAATAATGTGCACATTTCCACGAGAGAAATCCCACGTCTGATTCTATCCTGGCCTGCCTTTTAGCGCCTTTTACATCCAACACAAAAACTGCAGTCGTGGTGCTTTCGATTGTACTCAGAACTCGGAAATTTTGCCTTCTGAATAGGAAGATGTAGGCAACACCAGACTGCAGATGAGCTGCATACAGGGCTGGACTGGGACAAAAAAATCGTCCCGGGCATTTTGACTAGAGACCGGCCCACCATTATAGGAAAAATCATAAAACCTTTGAATGATAATAAACACTGTTGTTTGTTGCAAGACTCAGATAATTATTTTTTTAAAAGTGAGACATTTTAAATGAGAATGAGAAAGTATTTCTTTGTGCCCCCCTTTCCCTTTTAATGCCCTACATGGACCCCTGGCAACACTTTGCTAGACCCGCCCCTGCACAATTACCAGCTGTCAGCTACTTAGAAAAGGATCCTGGTGTTATTTGTCTCTCAGAAACAGTTCATAACTTCCCTTCAACTCATTCATGTCACCTAAAAAGTAAACCTGTTTCTCCATCACAGCTCTGATTCAGTAAGGACATCTCCTGGTTTCATCTTCATGTTTGCCTCTCATCACATAACCAAACCAACATCCTGACCAGCAGGTTTACGGCTGTGGCTCACATCAGCTGATACTAGAAATTAATAATAAATACATTCTAACAACAGCTGATCAAGCTTAAACGTGTTGCTGTTGTTTACCGCGACATCCACTGGTTTCCTCTTTCTGGCGCAAAGTGGGCGATAAATAAACAAGAGAGCCGATCAGCTGATCATTGATCAGTTTTCATGATTGAAGTAGAAACAGGAGAGGGAGGGGAGAGGATGAGAGAAGAAGAGGCAGCTGTGCAGCGTAAACACAGAATAACTCCAGCTTTGTGTCTTTTCCATTGTAGCTGAAGTCTGAGACAAACTGTTCCTTTTCACCTCAATAAGAAACGCGTAATATTTTCTCTGAATACGGGACGATTCCGTTTTTTACGGGACGGTCAGCAACTCTAATAATTAACCTTATGAACAAAATAAAGTTCAACATCAGTAACATAGCACCCACCCAGCTGTATAGAAACTCCGTCATGCTAGCTAGCACGGAGTACGAAAAAGTCAGCATAACGAAAATAAACTCCACCTAAACTTGGTTTATATCTGACCCAGAGAGACTGCAGGTGTGTTCAGTATAAGACAGAGGAGAACACCACAGGCCTAAACCCTGCAGGTCTGACAGCAGGAGGTGCATCAGTCCAGTTTTCCATGTGGGAACAGCGTTTACACTGGAATCTGCCTTTGACGCTTTTTTAGAGCAAATATGAAATTCAGCAGTCTAACTGACACACAATACAAGACAATAACTACACAACACACTAACTACAGCCTCCAAACACGCTAAACGTCACTAATGTCTCACATATGAAAACTCGCTCTCTCTCTTTCTTTCGCTCGCCCGCTTTCCGTCGCGGGTGTCACTCCTAAAAACTTCCCCTTCTCCCTAAACAACCAAATGTCACATGTTGCCTTATCA